TTTTTAGTGCAAGACACAGAGGGAAAACACGAATCCCATTTGAAAGTGAAAGACATTTTTAAGGAAACTTGAGGAAGGTTGGAAAGTTTTTAAGGTCAATAATCTTCCAGGACAGGTTGTGCAAAAAATCTAAACACAGACATTTTTGATACCTCAATCACATCTCAGAAATGATGAAACTTAACCAAAGGAAAAAAAAATCTGGGTTTTATGTTCTACTGTTTCTGACATGTGATTGTTTTATTTGGAAAAATAACTGTAATGCTTTCTGGTACATTTGAGGGTGAACACTTGATAGATTACTAGAGAGATTCTGAAGAGGAAATTCCCAAGAATTTAGATACTAAGCATTTAGGAACAGTCCACATTTCACTTTGACCTAAATATAGGACCAGATTATACCATTAGAATTCACAAGCTATGAGTCCTTAAAGAAGCAAGTGTATCTTTCAATCCCCAGGGAGGAATATGTCATCAAATCTATCCTGTTCTTGTCATATATTTTTAAATCTACATCTATAATAATTCTTCCTTAATAATAAATGCATATATTCTTTTTCTTTTCTGCCTTCAACAGTATTCTTGTATAATTTTTTCACCGCTTAACCCGATGCAGATATGTTTCTAAGCACATGCTGCTACTTGTTTGTTTTTTTTTTGGTTTTTCTCCGGTACCGGGAACCGAACTCACGACCTTGCGCTTGCCAGACAGGCGCTTTTGCCGCTGAGCTAAATCCCCAGCCCCGCTGCTACTTGTTTGTTTGGCTGATTTCCAGTTTTTACAATTTTTATCTACAATTTATTGAAGTTGTCCTTGTTGGCATCAATTCTTTTCTGTTTAAAATTTTCAGTAAAGTATAATTTACTGTGAGTTTCTTTTGTCTATATCAAATTTAACCAATTCTAACATCTGCCTTTATGAGTTTACTTCATGGCCATTATTTCTACCACACCCAATTCTTCTTGCTCAGATTTGGGTGCCCACATTCTGGCAAGAAGATGTGATTATTTGGAAGTTTTTCATCAATAACCATTTTTCCCTGTGTGCAAATTTTGTTATTTTTAAATGCCATAAAATGTATATGTATATGATCTTTCAATATGTGTGTATTGTGTAATATTCAAGTCAGGGCCTGAATATCTGTCCTTCTTAAACATTTCTCATTTCTTTGTGATAAAAACAGTTGAAATCCTTTCTTCTAGTTTCTTTGAGGCATATAATACATTTTTGTTATCTACAGTCATCCTGCTATGCTAAATATATATTTCTAATATCACTGTAGACCTTGCTAATTTAATCAAATATCTTTTTTTCCTCTGAGAATTTACTATCTTATATGTGGGCAAATAAGAGTAGTGAATGAGGAGTTTGCTTATTTTCCTTCTCTTTTGCACGTGTTCCCAACATGTCAGTAATACTTAGCACCACATATGCTTAAAATTCCTAATATTTATAAACAATTTCAAAACTTGTGTGCATTTATTCCTTTAGAAATTTTATAAATATTGCATTAATCTAAAATGCTTACCTTCACAGTATATTTAAAACAATATGCTGCCAAAAGGCCTTGTTATTACTGAAATATCATAAAATGTCTTAAGATTATTTCAAATAACTCACTTTTAGACTCCCTAAAATGGAATAAAGCTTTACCCGGAAGTGCAAATAAACGAGTCACTGAAGAAAAGAAACCCAACACAGCCTCATATGAACTCACATCTATATGAATCAGGACCCTGCTATTTGGGGGAAAAGACTCCAATGAAGTAAAAGAGACCATTTTCTGATTTATATTGCTATGCCAATATAACACAGTTACTTAAAGCTGGCTTACAAGACCAGCAGAAATCTTACATCTTCTTTATTTTTATTTTTCTAGATAATGATGTGCTTTCCAATCCAGAGTAAAAATCTGTGATTTACAGTAGTTCTTTCCAACAGCCCTCCACGTGGAGAAACAGAAAACTTCCTCATCCTCTACACAGATGAAGAGAAGGGAACGTGCACAACCATCCCAGGGTGCAGGCACGGAGAGAAAGGTGTGCGTGCTCATGCGTTAACATTATTGGGACCTAGAGCCCCAGCAGTAGGCATGGATGCCCATGCCAAGTAACGTGACTTGTCCTGAGGCTTTACAAGGCAGTAGCAATTATTTCTGTTGTGATGAGATCCTCCTGGTAAGGAAGGTAGCAAATTGCTTGGAGTCCTGTGTTTACACCTGGCAGATTGTTCCGCCCTGCAGCCTGCTGACCATGATCACCCCCTTGGCCATTCCCTGTGACAAAAGAAGGAACGCACTATTCAAATGTCCCTTCACCATGCACTGTCTTGTGTCCTCCGATGCTTCACAGCCTAGACAGGGGTCCCTGTCACATGTAGGTTTCGTGTCTGCCATCCTCCCACCCGACCGCATTTCTCTCAGACAGAAGCTTCGAATGACAGTCCAAGGTTTTTGAACTTTACCATGTAGACATTTGCAGAAATTTAATGTTTAAATATTTATTGGCCTCAAAACAAAGTCAGTGCCTCTGGAAAGTTAACACTAGTGCAGGTTATGGGGTCAGATAGAAGTGATGATAGAAGACTGGGAGTGGGGGACCATTTACTATTACAGTGATGCCCAGGTTCACAAATGCTCTTGTTGGTGAACAGTTTGGCAAAATTTTGTTTTTGTTTGCCAACTCTGCATCGGGTGATGACCATGATCACAGCTGTCTTTCCTGCACATATGTGAATGTGGCCCTGTTTTCCAGAATCATGGAATGAATTAAGTTTGTGAACTAAGCTACTACTGTAGTTAGAATAAATCAGATGTGAGGTGATGTGGAAATACGGTCAGTGGAGTTTGATCCCTATCACTTTAAGAGGGAAGACAACTTATTCATTCCTTTCCCTCTTATGAAGCACCCTTCAAGTAGGAGGGGGCAGGTCTGTCTACAAAGCCAACCTAGAGTAAGTGTATATGCAAATGAAAATATGCATGACTCCCCTGTACATAGAAGTGTGATGATTTGGCTTCTTGTGCACATGAGTGTTCTGAATCACAAACCATACACTTAGTGCTCTTTCAGAATATATGATCAGCAAACAACATGTGCATAGCTACAAACATGAATCAAGTTAAGCAGTGAAAAAACATATCCAAATACTGGTAATGGTAGGAAAGAAAAAGAATATGTGTGCTTGCTAGTGCAAAAAGAACTATTACAGGTGTAGGTTTTTAAAAATATGACAAGAATAGGATAGATTCAGTGTCCCATCCTCCCTAAGGATTGAAAGATACATTTCATCTAATAATTTTGATTCTAAAGCCAGGATTATAGTGGTATAGGAAGCCCCTATACCACTGTTGCCATTGTGCCACCCGGGGTGCACAGTGTCCTATCTCTGGTTATTTCCTGTCCATCCTTGGTGATGGCTTTTCTGCCTTTGGTGTTCCAGGGCACACAGCATGCCTGCTTGGACCAGGACCTCCAATTTCTCTGGTACTTCACCCAGCACCAGCATGGGGTTCTGCCAGTCATCTGCCCTGTGCTACCTCTACTTGGATCTATGTATACCACATGTCTTGGTTTCTATTCACTTCAGTTATTGGAAATCAAACCCTTTCTGTCTTTTTTTTAGTTTGGTGTGTAACATAGTCTTTGTTGTGGCTTGTGTCTAGAAGTCTCTCCAAATCCTCAGGTAGTCATAGGTGGGGTTTTCAGAAGTTAATAAGAGGCTAAATTTAAACCAAAGCAACCAGACTTCTTAAATATGAGCCCTTCTTAAAAATGAGCCCTTAAATATAGTACCTGTACACCTCAGGGTTCGCCAGACTGGTCATCTTTCTATTGTCAGGAATATCTAAAACTGTATTGAGGATCTACAGAAAATGATGAGATATAATCACAAGTTAAGTAATAGCGACTACTTGGGGTTTTGCCAGGAAATGAACTGTATGTTGCATAATGTTGTGTTTTAAGAAGTTCTGGGAAGGTCTCTTGGCCTCCCAAGATATTTCCCATTACCTGAAGTAGGTGTTAAATTCCTTTCAGTAGGGAAACATTTATGAATCTTCCAGGAGCACTGTAACCTTTAAATCATTATTAACCAAGACTAGTTCACAGAACCCCCTATCTCTCACTTCAGTCATTCATTAAATATCTTCCTAGCTAGTGACTGTGAAATAAAGCCTCACTTCCTTTTTATATATACATGGTTTGCATAAGTGCCACCTTGCATTCACCTCTACAGGTGTTGAGATTGCCTGCACAGATGAGTCCTGGTTGAAACTTGTCCTCTGAGACCAGTATGTGGCTCCAACCACAGCCCCACAGCTCTGCAGACCTCTCTTGCCTTTCCAGTCTCCGCTTCACTTAAGCAGTTGCTTTTCCCTGTCCAAGATTTACTCCAGGCTTGGAAAAGAGGACTCTGCTTACTTCCGTACAAAAATGGCTAGGACAAGCCTATAGCAATTCACCAGATTATTGAAAGCTTAGAGACCATGAAAAGGAATTATGATGGGGAAGCGAGGGAGTGGTCTATTCCCTTATGACAAGAGTTGACTTTGTGCCCACCAAATACTCACTAGAAGCTAGTAATGAGAACTAGTTCTTCGCTTAACTACAATGTATTATTGGTTGAAAATTGCTGAGTCATTTTAAGTGTTTTCACCACCAAAAGATGATATGTATGTGAGGTAATGGATCTATTGATCACCTTGGTTTAGCCATTCCACAATGTGTGCTTAAATCAAAACATCATGTGTTACATAGTAAGTATATATCACTTGTCTGCAAGCATGTTCATTTTTAATCTGTTCTCCAGCATTAAGTCAATGGTGGTCAGACTCCAGACCCTCCTGCCCCAAGTCTCCGTGAATGAGTGTCTGGGAAAGAACACATATCTCTCATTAATAAGGCAACTTTCCAATATAGGGAAATTTGAATATAGATTTAGGAAAATAACCTGTCCTTACTGTTATTACTCTGATATAAAGCAGATCCAACCACATTAGTAAATGAAACATTAATCTTTTATTTTAATCTGCAGCACCCAAACTTGACGTTTCTACTGCATTCAGATCTTCCAAAAACAACTACCTTGCTGGGCTTGGAGACAGATCACTCTGAACATGTGCAACCTTGTAGCCAGAAAATTAACATCATCAAAATTCTTGCCTGGGGATAGGTTGGACCACTAAGAGCTTACCATACTGAATGAAAAAGTAGACAGAAACAAGAAGAAGCTGGTAACATCTCCTTTAGAGCACAGCAGAATGGTGCCAGTGGAAGTGGAGTTCAGAATCAGCAGGGGTGGATTATAGTGGGCATGGCAGGAAGTGGAGTTCAGAATCAGCAGGGGTGGATTATAGTGGGCATGGCAGGAAGTGGAGTCCAGTAAACAGATGCCAACCCGAGGATTACTTCCTACTGAGAGAGGGTCCCAGCCGGCAGATCTCCTCTCTGGTGGCCTGTGCCCCTACCCCCCCTGTTACAGACACTGAGTCATTCCCAGGGTGCCAGCTTCTCTGGGGAGTCTGAATTCTTCTTCTTCACTGTCTACACCTCATCTCTTTCTGGGCCTTACCCTGTGCCATCCTGCCGGTCATTCCTCCCTGCATTTGGGGGGTCCCTACAGCAGCACAGTGGGCAAACTTCTCTCAAAAGGGCCACCTACATAGTAAATATTTCCTTTTGAGGATCGTATGGCCTGTGATCGCTGCCACAGCTACTCTGGTGTCATATTAAAAAGGAACCGTAGGCAACACAGAAACACAGGGGTCTGGCTATGTTCCAATAAACTTTACAAAAACAGGATGCGGGGCTGGGCTGGACTCCCAGGCTGTAGTTTATTGATCTGTGATCTGGAACTATATGCTTTAGTGTTCATACTCATTTAGCACTATGATTTTGGATTTCTCTTTTCTTTTTCTGTCTCTTAAGGATTCCTACTAATTTCTTGTGAGTTTAGTGTCTGTGTGTAATTAATCTAGATCCAGATGATTTGGAGATGACAGAGGGTTTTTTTTTCTTCTGAGACAGAGTCTTGGTATACAGTTTAGGCTGGCCTTAAACTCATGGTGATCCTCCTGCCTCAGCCTCCTAAGTGCTGGGATTACAGACCTGTGCCACCACACCAAAAAGAGGGATTTTTATAACACCTAGTTCTGTGTCTTGTTGGAAATATAGGTCTGGTCCGTCTTTTTCTCAGTAATGCCAGCCTTCTGTGCCATTATGTTTAAGAAGTCTTCTATGAAATAGCCAGTGATAGACTTTTAACTGATGAGTTACATCCATTTACCTTTACTGTGACTACAAGTACATTTAGAATTATTTCCACCACATTGTGTTTTATTTCCTGGATACTGTACCACTTCTATTCTTTCCTTCTCCTTTCTTTCATTTACTCCATAAAACAAGTTTTGTTAGAACAGTATTCTCCCTGGTAATAGAATTTTAAATTGACAGTACTTTCCCTCAGAACTCTGCCAGTATTGTCTTTAAGATAACTGATAATATTCTAGACTCTGTGGTTGCTATAGAGACATATGCTTTCAGTCTAAGTGTTCATGTAAGAAATCGCTCCCTTTCCTTTTATGTTTACTCAGCATTTTCTCTTTGTTTTCTGAAACAGTCTCACTACATTTGTGTTTTATCTTTATTTACCCCGTGTTCTTCAAATAGTCATGTCTTTTACCAATTCCGGAAATTTATGAATCATATTTTAATATAGCCCCTTCACTGTTCTGTCCATTCTTTAAGTCTGGGGCTTCCTTCAGAAATATACTAGATCTTTTCTCTTTATTTTCTGTGTTTCTTACTGTTGTGTTCATTTTTTTCATTTCTTTCTGTGCTACATTCTTGGATTTTTTTCCCCTTAATTCTACTCTTTCCTCCTTCAGCATGTCTCACCTGTTATTTAACTCGCTGGCCAACTTTTCTTCACAATTAGATTTTTAAAAAAATTTCTGAATTCTCAAATTTTCAAATCTTTTTGAAATTTCAAAATGTCATTTGGAAATAAAAGTTTGACCATTGGTTTATATGGTTCTTTTTTCCTGATACATTTTAGATACACATAGTGATGACATCCATTAGAGGGAATTTGTACCTGTATGTAATATAGCTTGCTCCTTACCTTCCCACTCCCTCCGCTCCCCTGTGCAAACACCCCTGTGTAAATGTTAACTCTGCCACTCATTAGATTTCTGACCTGGCACAAGTTACTTAACCACTCTGAACCCACATTTTTTCATTGTGAGAAAATAGTAGTATCTGATAATCCATTAACAATTGTGTTGTTATGAGGACTGAATCACTAGTACAGTACGTGCAAAGCACTAGGAAGTGTGCTCAGCATGTGGTCATTGCTGTCCACTATCACCATTTGTGTAGCCTTACCTGCCTGTATTTCTCCTTCTGTGTTTCAATTACTTCTGTAATAGCTTTAATCATCTTAAAGCTTTGCTCAGCAGTCACTTTTTAAGTCCCATGCTAGTTACTTGTTCTTTGGTCTAATCTTCTCATGTCTTGGGCCAATGGACCATGATTCGCACAAAAATTATTACATTCTTATTCCATGACTTTTTGTCATGAACTTATCTCAACTTATTTTGTGAGAATCCCCTGCCCCTTAAATGTATCTGTTCCCCCACATGCTTTTGCATTTATAATACTAGGAGGACCAGGAGGTTTTCTAACCTATGACCAAATTTTCTGTTTACATATTTTAAATAAATATTTTTGAAATATAATATAAATTCAAACTCTAAGTCTTAAGACATGGAGTAGGATTTCTTAGGCAATTCTATGTTATTTTTCACGGGTTGCTAGGCAGAGAAAAACTAGATTCACTAGTGTCTTCTGTGCATATGTGAAGGATTTTTCTGTTGATCTTGGTTCCAACACTCCTCCTCACCCCACATGAGACCTTGTGTCTACAGGAGCTCTAATCCAAGCCCCCACCTAGCAAGGATAAGCTGAAACCACAGCTCTGGCCTTCAATTTCCTCTATTTTCCTAGCATGATGTGATTCTGTTCCAAAAAGATTTCTTTTATAGATGTTTGCTTTGGGGCATATTAGTGCTCCATCTTGCAAAACCCCAATAGAATTCTTCCTTCTCATAATACTATTTCAGAGCTATCTTCCTTCCTTATAAGTCTCCTTCTTTCTCAATATTTCTGTTTTGTTTTTTCTTATTATCTTCTTCCACTTCACACTAGTTTCTTTCTTCCTCTGGTGGTATATTTTGGCCCCACATGAAATGACAATCTGAAAAGATAAATAGAATTATTAGTTGGCTTTCTACTGTTATTGAAACACCAAAGCATTTGCATAAGGGCAGTGCATATTGGGTTGATGCTGCAAAATTTCATTTTAAACCCATAGACTTTGATCCTGTAGAAATCTTCGCTAGTATCTTTGTTCTTCTGCTCTCTCCAGTGAGTCTTTTAGAGTTAATCATTCTTTCTGATAGCTGTTGATGTGTTAGTCATACCTTCTCACTGCAGTTCTGACTCTCATGAAGAGTGCTTTGAAGAGTAATTTTGGCCATCTGCATTGTCTTGAGCAAGAGAGGCTGATGCTAAAATTGTAAGAACATTAAGTCGGGGTCAGAGGTATAGCTCAGTGGGAGAGCACTTTCCCAGCATGCAAAAGGCCTTGGGTTTGAACCTAGCGCCAGGGAAGAAAAGAACATTAGGTGAAACAGTCTGCCTGCTGCTCCCAAGCCCTCTGCTCTGATTCCCCACTCTCCAGGCAGCTCTCTCACCCTCTCAGAGCCTTCATATAGAAATGCCAACCTTCAGGTATAAGTACCAGGATATACAGCATCAACTTGTTCCTAAAAATTAGTAAACTAGAGCTAGGTATTTTTTTTAAATCACAAAGCAGATTACACTGAACCTTTATCTTTATATCATAGTGAACTATATGGAGTATTTATGGTTTAACCCTTTCTGCGTGCACAATTCAGTGACATTAAGTACATTCCTGTTTTTGTTCAACCATTACCACTATCCATCTCCAGAACTTTATTTTTAACTTTCTCCCCCTTTGTCAGCTTTGGGGGTTGGATCCAGGGCATTTCTTGTATGGGCTAGACAAAGACTCTACCACTGAGCCATACCCTCAGCTCTTCTGAACCTTTTCATTGCTCCAAATTGGAAATCTGTTCTCATTCAGTAGTAACCCTTCTTCCTCTTTCCTTCAGCCCTTGCCTCCCTCTACCTTATTTCTCTCTGAATGTGATGACTCTAGGAAGCTCAGCTAAGTGGGTAAGTGGAATCATTCAATATTTGTCTTTTTCTGTCTTCTTTCACTTAGAATAATGTCCTCAAGGTTTATCCATCCTGTGTGTACATCTGAATTTCACTGAGACATTTTAAGGAATTCCTTTTGAAGGAACTGCATTATATATATACATATTTTTTTCTTTTCTGGAAAGATAATTTTGTATTAGCCACAAAACTATAAACTTTTTACCTACATAGACACTGAGAATACTGCTAGCATCACTCACCATTTAAATGCCACTCCTTCCTACAACTACTGCCTGGCTGTCACATTCGAACTTTCCTTAGTCTTTCAGCTGAACATTCTGGAAACACCTCATACTCACATGAAAAGGAAGTTTTACTTTGAAATATGTAAGCTGCTTAACATATTAAGAAATTTTGGACCTACTAACCTTCTCAAGTAAGAGGAGCTTATTAATATAAAAAGAAAATAATGAATTTGGAGGCCTCATCTTATCTCTAAACCATCTCTATTCTTTACCTTCTGGATATTGTGAAATGTAGCTGATTCAGTTTGGGGCACCAGCATACAGGCACAGCTGTTTTGGGGGGCAGTTTTTTGTCAGTATTGGCGATCAAACTCAGGGGATGCTCTATCACTGAACTATATACCTAGTCATTTTTTTAAATTATTTTTTTATTTTGAAACAGGCTTTCACTAAATTGCCTATACAGGCCTCCATTTTGTGATTCTCCTGCATCGGCCTCTTGAGCAGTTAGAATTGTAGATTTGTGCTACTGGCTCAGGCATAGTTTCCTGTTACTGGTCTTCATCTCAACCTCAGTGTACCTCTTCCCGCTTACCCCCAGCACACCTCTGATGGGCTTTGCTCTCTGCCACTCAGTGACTTCCCATTGCTTGCACAATAAAGCCTGATGATCAGGGCTGTATACAGTAGACTCTCAGATCCACCCAACTCAGATTCTTCACCGTCCTAGGTTTCTCCTCTCCATCTCCCTCCTTCCTCTTACAATAATGCCTTTTCCTTTGATGGCATCACCTTCCCCATAGTCTCTATCAACATCATGGCCCTTAAATACATCTCATCCTCAAGTATTCACCTTGTTGTAGAAACCCTTTCATATCCTCCAAGCTCCATTTGATCACTGGCTTTATTGACCCCTCAGAGTGCAGCTCTCTCTCTCTGTCTCTTTTCGAGTCTATCAGATTATTCTTTGAGATAAAATCATTCACATATTATCTTAGTGCTTTAGACATTCTAGGTTGTAAATTTCTTGAAGAAAGAGACTATATCTTTTTTTATATTTTTCTATCATTTGTTTGCTTTCTTGGAGTGAACTTGTGGGACTGCAGCCTTAAACCAATCATGAAAACCACATCTCTAGAACATGAACCCTTTGGGGTCTCAGCAGAAGGAAAGAGATGACACCAAAAGTAGACCCTTGAAGTGTTTGAAACAGGTCCAGCTAGGGAATTGGTGTCCACTGCTGATTATTTACTTAAACTGAGACTTGGATGACATCTTATTTTGCCTCATCTTGAGTTTCTGTTGGTTGAAGTGTTGAGAGGAAATGTAAATGTAAAGTAACTTAAATTCAGATGAGAAAGAAAGTCATTTGGAAACAAAAAGAAGAATCCAAAATTTTGAAGAGCTATTCTTCCTAAGACGGGATGGGACAAAATCAGGTAATATAGATAATTTCTGTAACTCTGAAACATCCATGTGATTAAATGTCAGCAATTAAACTACTGTAGAAAGCAATAGATTTTCCAAGAAATTTAGGAAAAATATACAATCTTAAATTATTGCCTTTCATCACAGTAATTAGACTACTCCTCTACAAAATGTATGACACACCACTGCCCCCAGCTTGTAACTCATTTCTTTTTGAAACGAACAAAGATATACTTTAGTCATTAAAGATGAGTTTACTTAGCTCCAAGTGTGAGTTTAACATTGTAGGCAATATCTCCAAAATATCTAGTTGCGGTATGTCCAGAGGCACATAGGATTCTGGAAAGGAGCAGTTTAGCTGTATAAAACTCAGTATGTGTCAGAAAATTTTAATCTTCTTCCATGATAGGATGTCAGGACCTGTGGCTTAGAGGCAAGAAACAGAGGCCATTTGTCTGTCTTTTACTCCCAATCTTCAATTCTGTCATACATGTGGTGCCCAGCGGCAGCTAGCAAAACAAGATGAACACAGTATTTCTCAAGCTGCAAGGCCTGGAAAGGTCATGAGAATTTTTAAATACAGCAAAATATTTTTGTAGAGAATAATTTTTCATAAATATATATATGAATAGCTGTGATGACTGTATTGCTGATGTCTGATGGTGTATTGAAATGAACAGTTAATGCTCACAAGTTTTTATGTTCTGATCGACTTTGCATGCTTGTGTCTGGGGGTCTGAGCAACTGATTTGAAGGTAACGGTATGCGATGGAATTACAATGGTGAACTCCTACCATCTTGTTTAGTGAAACACTGTATTATGTCTAATGTTTTATTGAAGAATTATTTTCTTATTCTCTTTAACGGTTTGAGCAATCTTTCATTCTTACATCTGATAATCTGAGCAATATAGTTGAGGATAGTGATATGCAATGTAACAACCTCTGTGATTTGTATTAATTTGTCTTGAGACCCTATATCACTTTGAATGTTCTTGCTTTGATTTGTTTATGTTCGTGATACTGGTATGCTGCTACTGTTCTATTCTGTTTGTTTGTGTCTCGTGTACTACTGTCTTTAAAATAAAAAAGGAATAATTTTTAAAGGT